GTTCTATGTTTCGTAAGCCTTAGGTGTGGCAGTTGCATCCTAGATGTGCCATTTAGGCTTGAGCAATTCATAGACAATCTCTGTGTGAGACCAGTTGTGAAACTCTGTAATAATCTCTGTTGGAATATGATCTCAACTGTACTTACAACCTTACTCCCCACCTGTGCTTCCCCCAGTATTTCCAACTCATCAAAAGACCATTGGTTGACCTCAAATGTCTCATCCCATAGATCTGGAACTCTTTGAAAGCCCTCTAAGCTTTGGACCTGCTGTTTCCTAATAATGATTCAACCCTAGAGTCAACTTCTTCCCCAAGCTGATTGCTTCTCTCCAGATCTACTGCCATCTTGTCCAGCCTGTCCCAGCCACTGTCATCATCTCATGACCTGTAAAGGATAAACTCAATGTCCCTCCTTAATGAGATCCCACCTCCCTGTCCAGAGTCATCTGGAGCCGCACTTAACTCTCCTCTCTGCTCTAGCAGAACAATAGCTATTCCGCACTCAAAGAGCCCCTTTCTAGCCCTAAGGTAGCAAGTAGAAGTGTCTTTACCCTTTAATACTAAGTTGAAATGTCAAAATATCACCACCTGAGACAAGTCTCCTCTGACCCTTCCCACCAGGCCCCTCATTCAGATTTTTCCCTCAGGTCAGTTACCATAATTGTTTTTGGTTTTGGGGATTTTTTTTTCTTTCTTTCTTTCTTTTTCCCTTTTTCTTTTCTGAGAGAGGAGTTTGCTTGTTTTTGTTGATTCTGAGATAGGGTCTTGCTATGTAACCTTTGCTAGTCTGGGACTTTTCAACTACAACAGACTGGCTTTGAACTTGTGGTGATCCTTCTGCCTCTTGAGTGATGGGATGATAAGTGTGCATCACCATGACTGGTGTACTTGCCATAACTGCAATTAAAGACTCACTCGTGGGGCTGGAGAGATGGCTCAGCAGTTAAGAGCATTGGTTGTTCCTGCAGTGGACCTAAGTTCAGTTCCCAGTACCCACATAGCAGCTAACAATGGGTAACTCCAGTTCCAGGGGATCTGACACCCTCTCCTTATCTCTGTGGGTTATTATACCCATGGTGCACTTACACACATGCAGGCAAAACACTCATAAACATAAAAACAAATTAAAAAAAAATCAGGACTCACTTGTTTGAAGGTTGTGGTGGTGCATACCAACTCTTGGGAAGGTTGAAGGGAGGAGAGTTTGAGGCTGGGCTATGTAGTGAGAATCTATCAAATGATTTTTTAAAAATGGTCTTTTGTGAGATCATTTATCTATTTGCCTATCATACTTTGACTTCATAAGGAGAGAGACCATTTCTATTTTCCTTTTCCTTTTTGAGGCAGGGTCTCCCTGTAGCCCCATCTGGCCTGGAACTCACTATGTAGACCAGGCTGGCCTAGATCTCACAGAGATCCTGTCTCTGTCTCCTGAGTCCTGGGATCAAAGACATGTGCCACCATGCTGGTCTTATTTTTTTTTTAAATATTTTATGTATGTATGTATGTATGTATGTATGTATGTATTTATTTATTATTTTATATGTATGAGTGTATTGCCTGCATGTATGTAAGTGCACCCATGCCATGCAATGCCTGTGGAGGTCAGAAGAGGGCATTGGATTCCCTGGAACTGGAGTTACAGACAGTTGTTAAGTGCCATTTGGGTGCTGGAAATAGAGCTCAGGTACTCTGCAAAAGTAGCCAGTGCTCATGACCACTGAACCATCTCTCCAGCCCCCAGCTCTATTTTTTAAAATTATTTTATGTGTATGGATAAGTGTATATATGTGCAACATATGCATGCAGGAGGTTGTGAGCCATCATGTGGGTGCTGGGAACTGAACCTGGGTCCTCTGGAAGAGCAGCAAGTACTTTTAACCATGAGTCATCTCTTCAGCCTCCCATTTCTATTTTTATCTCAATATAATTCTAACCCTATGGGGCTGGCAAGGTGGCTCAATTGTTTAAAAGCATGTGTTACACAAATATGACAGCCTGGGTCCAATTCCCTGGGACCCACATGGTGGAAGGAGAGAACCACTTCTACCAAATATTCTCTGATCTCCACACATGTGCTGTGGCATGAACGCACATGTATTAATAATAATAATATATTTAATAATAGTAATCCCAGGCCCTTGCACAATGCCTGACACAGAGAAGAACTAAGGAAACATGAGCAGGCATTGGCCAAATGAACACCAAGCTCCATTTGACTTCCTAGGTCTTTTAGATAGATGCTACCTCTGCTTTCACAGATGGTCAAACCGCCTTTCATTGAACTTCCATGACTTGCCAAAAGGCGTATGGATAGTATGTGCAGACATGCTAACAATGAGAATCTGCTCTTAGAAATGACTCATCAGTAGCAACTTGATTATGAGAACATTGTGGAGAACACGTGTGCAAATCTGCATGGTATAGCCTCCAACACACCTAATCTACATCATATGAATGATAAAGCCTATTGTACCCAGGGTCATGAGGAACCAACAACAAGAGATTAATTCAAGCATTAGAAACTCAGTATAATCAAGAGATGTGGTAACACCAGGTGGATGAAGTGCCTGCCAGCAAAACGCAATATACTATTTTAGTACTTTTTTGGGGGGTGAGGGTATTAGACATTTATTTTGATCACAAATGTAATCCAAGTGTGAATAAATAAATGCAGTATCTTTTTTCCCCCCTCCATGTCCCTTTGAATTACAAAAACTGCTAAATGTCTCTTCAAGGCTCTTGCCACAGTTGTCCCACCTCCGGTTTTAAACAGACTGTAACATGATCTGCCGAATCCTTCTTGACCTACAGCTCATCCAGTTAGAGAAACCCTGGGAAAAAAGTCCTACTGGTACTGTCGGTAATCCACAAAAGGTGAGGATGGTAACTGGCTTGAAGGCAACTGGGCGTGGTCTTCAGCAAACTGAGGACCATTGAGAAACTGTGCAGAGGCAAATCTTATCAACAAGATACCAGCTCCTTCAATTAAAGCCAGGAGAATGCCACCCATCTCAGCTGACCCAACCATGGCCACAGGTCCATTTCTTGTTGCCAGTATGGCTCCTGTCAAGGCTCCACTGGTGATGGAGTTCCAGGGTCTTCTTTTCCTCTCACTTGAACCATACTGCCGTCAATCATAGAAAACAGTCCTCCCCACACTGCAAAGCTACCTCCCAACTGTGGAGCCCTGGTTTTAATGGCTGTCAAGCTTCCTCGTAGTCTGTGGTTTACTCCCACTGGAGAATTTCAAAAACCTTTGATGACTTGAAAGATACCACCACCTATGGTGCCCATGGTAAAGACCCCACCACAGTCATCCACAATTCGCCTGGGGCAAGGCTCCCTCGCATACTCCTCCATCTTGTCTCCAGCGGTACCTTTTTTTTTTTTTTGAGACAGGGTCTTACTATGTAGCCCTGGCTGACCTGAAACTCACTATGTAGACCTGCAGACCAGGCTGGCTTGGAACTCATAGAGATTCACCTGCCTTTGTCTTTCAGGTGCTAGGATTAAAGGCATGGGCCGCCACGTGTCAGTTATTTGGAAAGCTCAGGGAAGAGGATTGTCTTCCTGGACTACTGGGATGATAAGTTTTAATTGTCAGCTTGACATAATCTAGAATCATCTTGGAAGAGAATCTGAGTGAGGGGTCATCCAGATCAGGTTGGCCTGCAGGTATGTCTGGGGAAATTGTCTTGATTACTTTAACTGATATGGGGAGATTCAGCCAAAAAATTGGCAGCACCATTCCCTCAGCTGCACAGAGGTGCTCGGTATGACTGTGTGCATTCTTTGTTCTCCACCCTTGACTGTAGATGTTAAGTGGCTGACTCTGCTAGGCTGCTGCTGCTTCTGTGACTTCCCCACTATGATGGACTGTACCCTAGAACTGTAAGTTGAAATAAACCCTTTCTCCCATAAATTGTGTTTGTTAGGGTATTTTATCACAGCAACTGGGACTGAAACTAGGCCAGCTATGGAATGACTTACCCATGCATAACTCAGATCCAATCTGATGTCATCAACTTGCTAGCAATAGCCTGATCTGTAGGGTATTGGAAAGCACCTCCCCTCTGGTACCATCCAATGAGCCAGGTTTATGTAGGCCCCCCCCCCCGCTGCCCGGTTGGTCCAGGTGTGCTGAGACTTCAGGAGGGGTAAGCCCTGGACAGGGGAACTGACATTCAAGAGGGCTGCCTAGCCACCCACATCACAATGACCAAAACAGCTTCTATTGTATAGGTCAGGTCTGATCTCAGAGGCAGGTGTGATAGTGGGACAGTGCTAACAGGACTCTCCATACAGCAGGGACACCTGGGGTTGGAAGGGCAGGAGCACTGTCTTGTCAAAAGAAAGGGTAGGCTGTGTTTGAGCTAAAGCTTGGCTAGAGCCCCAGGACAGAAGCCATTTGTGTACAGAAAGAAGGGATATGGGGGACCAGTTGAGGTCTTGTCAGTGCCCTGTTGGTCACAGCCAGTTGACAAACATGGGGCTCAGAGTAGGATTCCCTGGGAGTGAAAAGAGTGAGTGATTGCTAAGGATGTAGCTTGGTTGGTGGGGTGATTTTCAGCTACGTAGCAAGTTTGAGGCCAGCTTGGGCTACATGAAACGTCATTATCAGAAAGAAGGGAGGGAGGGAGGGAGGGAGAGAGGGAGGAAGATAAGACAATGAAAAGAGAAGTCGTTAGGTGTCTGTGCACACATGCTAGGGTGAGCTCAGAGACCTCACCAGTGCCTATCTAGAAAGGCTCCCCAAGGATTTCTGGGTTTGGGACGAGATGTGGGGTTGGACCTTCATGCTGTTATCCTTCATCCAAGAACACAGAGCCCCATAACTTTCTTCACTTTGCACATCCTGCCTCTGAGCTGGGGAGCCTGAACACTGGGCTCCTTTAGGCAGTGTGGGCCCTGAATCACTCTGGTTAAGAAAGCCCATTCTGTGCACATCTCTGCAACTCAGAGCCAGTGACATGTTGGAAGTCTGAAATGGGTTGTCAAGGTGGGGATATTTATTCTATGGGAATTGGCAGATGTTCTAAAGTCAGGGCTTATGTTTCCCTCAAATTTTGGCCATAAACTTGCTCTGCTATTTGATTTACCTGTTGGAGGGATGTATCTGATATTGTGAGTGAATTCTAATTCCTCCTGAATCCTGTTATGGCCCCTTTGTCACATGGCTCCCTTTATCCCTAGTGCCTCTCTAGCTCCAGAGGATGTGTTAGGTGGGATCCTGGGGAAGGTGGAGTGGGAAGGGATGAGGGACCAGGGTAGTAATGCTTGCTTTCCACAGATGTGGGGATAGTGGGATGTTTCCCTGCTTGAGGAAGAGGGCTAAATGACATATCTTTCTAGGTCCTTGGCCATGGCACGTGTGGTGAACCCCAGGAAGGTGAGTGATGTCATTTCCAGTCCCTGTAACTATTTCAGGGTTGAGGCAGCCTCAGCACAGCAGTAGGGGATGCATACAGTGTTCGGGAGATTTATTCATTTCCCACACAATTATTAGACACCAACTGTATATCGAGTATACTCTACTTTAGGGCCACAGAGAGAGCTAAGACAAGGTCACAATCTAGGATACCTCATGATATTTTGTTTGTTTGTGTTTTGTTTTGTTTCTTTGAGGCAGGGTCTTAAGTGGCCCATGCTGGTCTGTACTCACTATATAGCTGAACTGGCCTTGACTTCCTTGTCTTCCTGCTTCTGCCTCCCAAGTGTTAAATTATAGGTAATAGGTGTGTACTACCACACCCAGGTACATTAATTTTTTTCTTTTTTACTTTAAATCATTCATAGTTTTGTGGTATTTGTTTGTTCATTTTTTTTTTTTCTTAAGACAGGGACTCCCTGTGGCCCCAGTTGGCCTGGAACTTGCTATATAGACCAGGCTGACCTTCACTGATCTCACAAACATCCATCTATCTCTGCCTCCCGAATGCTGATTTTAAAGGCATGCACCACCATGCCTGCCTTTTTTTTGATAATTTGTTTTGATTGTCAGTATGTATGTAGTGCCTGTGAAGGTTGAAAGAAGGTGGCAGAGCCAGAACCTCCATGTGGGTGTTAGGAGTCAAACGGCAGTCCTCTGTAAGAACAGCAAGCGCTCTTAACCTCTATAACCACAGTTAGCCTGGAACTGACTATGTAGACCAGGATGGCTTCAGTCCCACAGAGACCTACCTGCCTCTGCCTCCTTATTTCTGGAATGATAGATGTGTGCCACCATACTCAGTCCCCATCACCAAATTCTTTAAAAAATATTTTATTTTTATTTTATGTGTGTGAGTGTTTTGCCTGAATGCCATACCCACAGACCAGAAGAGAGCATTGGGTCCACTGGAACTGGAGTTACGAATGGTCTTTAGCGCCATGTAGGTGCTGGGAACTGAACTCCAGTCTTCTGCAAGAGCAGCCAGTGCTCTTAACTGCTGAGACAACTCTCCAGACCCTTGTCATCAAATTCTTGATATTATACTCCAATGAGTGCTTCCATAGAGGGATGCAAAGTGTGTTATTGAAACAGAGAAGGAAGGAAAGGATTGAATTCTTAGGAGGTGGGGAATGAGAGGGTGGGAAAGCTGTTTGGGGTCTCAGAGGATGTATGGGCTGGCTCACTGACAAGGAGGGCAGTTTGTATTTTCTTCAGGAGATAGGGGCACGTGCCAGACACGTGATGGCTCAAAGAGACAAGGCTGCCGCGCTAAGGAAGCGGGGTGATGGTAAAGGGACAGAAGTCAGATCATGCACAACTCCTAATGCCAGGCCCCAAAGCTGTCCTTTGCATGGAAGAATGGCAACAGTGGGCTTTTGTATTGTCTTCTTCTTTGTTCTCTAGGACTATGTGGACCTAGACGTATACCAAAGTTCGTACATGGTCGACTATAAGCCCTTTGGGAAGAACAAATACTCCAGAGTCACGCCTCAAGAGGTAGGTATGCACACAGGCAGGAATGCCACCCATTCCAGGATCTCCTGACATGGATTATCAATGTGGACATTCTGGCTTTTAAAACAACAGTCAGTGCTAGAGGACCTCAATTAGAGGTTTTGCATGATTGTGTGTGTGCACATGTGTGGGTGTGATATGTCAAAATATACAGCATACATAAGATTGTAAGTAATATACATTTATAGTTCAAATAAATTTGATAAGGGCTGGCAAGATGGCTCAGCAAGTAGAGGTGTTTGGCACCAAGCATGATGACCAGAGTTTGATCTCCAGGATCCACATGGTCAAGGAAGAGGAACAATTCCCAAAGGCTGCCCTCTGACCACCCCATGTACTCTGGCATGTGCAGACTCGTACACATCCCATAAATAATTCAGTGTAATAAAAACTAAATAACACTGATAAAATTGCACTAGTATACCCATCATTAGCCAGCTTAAGCATGGTGTGTGGATGGGCCCCAGGCAGCCTCTGCCCTCCTCACTGCTACCCTCCTACCTCCATTTTCTGAAGTTGGCTTCATTATGCCAATGTGTTTATAGGATTCTTTTAACCGAATTTGGTTTTAGTTTTCTTTCTTTCTTTTGTCTCCTCTTCCCCCCCCCCCCCAAACTCACTATGTAGCTGAGGACGGCCTTGAACTTCTGATCCTCCTGCCTCTACCTCCCCAGTGGATTATAGGCAAATATCACTAGGCCTGGTTTATGTGGTGTTGAGATCAAACCCAGGGCTTCATCGTGCTAGACAAGCACTCCACCACTGGTATATACCCAGACCTAGTCTAGCTTTGTGTGTTTGGTTGTGAGCCTGAGCCTTCATGGCTGCAGCAGTTCTCCAGCCCACTCTTGCTTTAAAAAAATTAAATCATTCAGGGCTGGAGAGATGGCTTAGCAGTCAAAAGTACTTGCCGCTCCTGCAAAGGACCTGGGTTCAGTTCTCAGAACTCACATGGTGGCTGACTACTGTCTGTAACTGCAGTTCCAGGGGATCTGACATCCTTTTCTGGCCTTCATGGAATTACACAACACAGGTGCACTTACATACATGTGGGCAAAATACTCATACACATAAAACAAAAATAAATGAATCTTTAAAAAAATTAAATTAGAATCTTTAAAAAAATTAAATTAGGAATGGAGAGATGGCTGAGGGGTTAAGAGTACTGACTACTCTTGCAGAGAACCCAGGTTCGATTCCCACCACCTGCATGGTGGCTAACACCCATCTGTAACTCCAGTTCCAAGAGAATCTGACACCCTCTTCTGACCTCTCATAGGCATTGCATGACATGGGTGTACAAACATACATTCAGGCAATACACATTAAAAAATACACATAAAATAAAATAATAATAAATAAAACTTTTTTTTTTTTTTTGGTCTCTTTGAGACAGGGTCTCCCTGTAGCCTGAGCTGTCCTGGAACTCACTATGTAGACCAGGCTGGCCTTGAACTCACAGAGATCCACCTGCCTCTGCCTCCCAACTGCTGGGACTACAGGCGTGTGCCACCACGCCAGGCAATAAAACATTTTTTTAAAAAGCCAGGTAAATTGGCATGTGCTTGTAATCCTGGAGCTAAGGAGGCAGACAAGCAGATCGCCAGAGTTTGCTGGCCAGCCTGTCTAGCCTGCTGGGACAAACTCCAGGCCCCAGTAAGAGACCTGGCCTGGAAAAACAAGGTGGATAGCTCCCAAGAAACATGTGAAATTGACTTCTGGCCTCCACATGCATGCACATGCATATGTGCACACATGCTGCATATATACAGAAAACATTAAATAAAAATAAACTGTATGGCCGGGCGTGGTGGCACACGCCTTTAATTCCAGCACTTGGGAGGCAGAGGCAGGTGGATCTCTGTGAGTTTGAGGCCAGCCTGGTCTACATAGTGAGTTCCAGGACAGCTGGGGCTACAAGGAGACTCTGTCTCAAAAAAAAAAAGACAAAAAAAAACCCTGTGTGATTTTTAACAATTGCATCATCCACTCTCTTCCACGGTTCCACTTTTTTCTGGTTAGGACTAGCTACTCCTTTTCTGTGTAGTGTTATTACACTGCATGAACCTGCCACAATTGTTCCTTCCATTGCTAGGCACTTCAACTGCTTTCTTCCCTCTCTTCTGTCCCAAATGAGTCAGTGAAGAGGAGACACATTTTAAGGGGCTCATTCATGACAGGAGTGAGGCTGCCCACCTCAGGTTTTCGGTCTATGCACTGGTTCCCAAAGCGGTTGCACCAGTTTACACTATCACAAGCAACAGGCCACACACTGTTACACACTCTTGCTCAACCTTTACGGTTTTATGAACTTGGTGGGTATGAAGTCGTACTGTCTTGTGGTCATAGTTTTCTTTTTAATTACAGTTTTATTTACGTGTGTGTGGGGGGGAGTACATGTGTGCCAGCGTACCCCCCCCCACAGCCCCACACACAAAATAAATAAAATGCAATAAAAAAGAAAAGCTGAATTTAACTTTTTTTTTTTTTTTTTTGACACAGGATCTCACTATGTAGCCCTAGCTGGCCCAGAACTTGTTAAGAAGACTAGAGTGCCCTCAGAGTCAAAGAGATCCACCTGCCTCTGGTTCCCAACTGCTGGGCTTTAAAGCGTGTGCCACCAAATGAACTTAAAAACTCTCAGAGTAGGGGCTGGAGAGATGGCTCAGTGGTTAAAAGCACTGACTGCCCTTGCAGAGGACCTGGGTTCAATTCCCAGCATCCACATGGTGGCTGTGAACCATCCTCAACTCCAGTTCCAGGGGAATCCGAAGCGCTCTTCTGACTTCTGCGGCATTGTACAATACAGGTGCACTCACATACATGCAGGCAATACACTCATACACATTAAAAAAAAAAACTCTCAGAGTAAAGTACACTCTGTCTCAGATGCATCAAGACAAGCTGCCTCATCTTTTTCCTTTCTCAGCCCCCCCTTCATGTGTAATTTGTTTCTACAGCAGGTGAAACTCAACATCCAGCTACAAGACAAAGAGTTTTATAGGCCCGTGCCCAACTCCAACCCCAAGCTGGAGGATGGGTACCCTGCCTTCAAAAGACCCTACATGACTGCAAAGGACCTGGGAGTCCCTGGCTTCTTCCCATCACAGAACCTCATAGCCCCAGTGAATGATGAGTGCAGGTTCACCAGCACCTGCCATTACGCATACCCAGCTTCACCTGCTCTGTACCTGGCCCAGTATGACCCGTACTGGCTTCATCAGAGGACTGATTTCCCATGCTTCATGGAGCTTGAGTGGCAGCCTGCTCCAGAGGTGGGTAGAGGCTACCTTCTACTGCCTGGCCGTCCCTGTCCTCAGTACCAGAAGGTCAAAGTCCCTATCTTGAATCGATGGGGACCCTTGATGCCACTTTACCAATAGGAAGAGTGACAAACACCTGCTGTTGCAGTGGTGTGAGGAAATTCCACGCCACTGCTCACAGACAGGGAACTGAAAATAAACCTGGAAAGATGTCCCTTTGACATCAGGGTACTTGTTCTATAATTCCCAGCCTGCCCCGGGGCACAGCATCACAGTTGCAGAAGTGATGGAGGGGAAAAGGAGGCTGAATCAGTGTGTGTGTGTGTACAGAACTGGAATTGGTGGCATTTTATTTTGCACACATTTTGGAGTGTGTGTATGGAGTATGTATATATGTGTACACATAGGATATATGTGTATGTGTATATGTATGAGTGGTGGTACCTGCATGCCATGTTACATATGTGGAGGTCAGAGGACAACCTCAGGTGTCAGTCCTTACTTCCCACTTTGTTTGAGACAGGGTCTCCTCTATTGCTTGCCCCAGCATACCCCAGACTAGGGGACACACACGTCTAGGCATGCTCCTGTCTCTGCCTCCAACCCCACTATAGGAGTCCTGGGGTTACAGATATGCTACTGTACCCAGCATTACATGGATTCCAGGGTTTCGAACTCAGGTTACACAGCAAGCTTTTTATGCACTGAACCATCTCCCTAGCTTGTCATATTTTACTATTTTTTTTGTGTGAGATTTTGAGACAGGATCTCACTCTATAACTGAGACTGGCCTTGAATACTTTGCCTTAGCCTCTCAAGTCCTGGGATTACAGGTGAGAGGCACTGTGCCCGACTTTGTGTCATATTTTATTGTAATTAAGAGTCCTTTCTTTGTAACGAGTATATAGTCATGTATCACTTAGCAATGGGGATTAAAGTGCTGGGTTTAAAGGCATGCGCCACCATGTCCAGCCTCAGGAACGACATTCTTTTTTTTTTTTTTTTTTCTTTTTTTGGTATCTCCCTGTAGCCCCAGCTGGCCTGGAACTCACTATGTAGAACAGGGTGGCCTTGAACTCAAAGAGATCTGCCTGCCTCTGCCTCCCAAGTGCTGGGACTAAAGGCGTGTGCCATGCCTCATTCATGCAAAACATTCACATAAAATAAAAATAATATGTATGTAAGTATACCACATGTGTTCAGTGCTCTGCAGAGGCCAGAAGAGGTTATTGGATCCCCTGGAACTGGAGTTATGGACAGTTGTTAGACACCATATGGGTGCTGGGAATCGAACCTGGGTCCTCTGGAAGAACAGCAACTGTTCTTAACCATGGAGCCATCTCTTCAGCCCCAGGAACAGCATTCTATATGTGGTCCCTTATTGACTGAAACATCATCATGCTTCATATGACTGGGTATGTATGAGTCAGCTAGTTTGATATGACACCTTCTTGACCATAGCTATGCCATGTTAAAGTTTAGGCTGACTCTAGCCTCTGAAATTATCAGGCAGTTGGCCCAGAGTATGGGAACACAGGTCAGCAGGACCCCAGTTGTCTTGGGAACAGGTCAGTATGTTCCAGAGTGTACCTGCTAACTGCAGATTTATGGCTTCTGTAGGTTATGCTTGGCTTGCTTCTGCAAAATAGTAACTGTTGCTTAATGGAATAGAAATTGTTAAGGGGTCTTTGCACCTGTAAGCTTAGGAACTTAAATTTTCACCTCTGGTTATGGTTTCTCTGTATAAAAACTTACCCTAGAGATGGCTTAGGGCTACACACTTCAGTTGTGGCACCCTGTGTAGTCGCTGGCAAGCAAAGACTTTCATTTGGCAAAACTTTGTCTGAGTGGTCTTCTCTGGTGAAGTACCCCACAACACTAGGAAATGGGGTAAACTACAATAGCAAAGAGAACCAAACTATAGTGGTCAAACTCTATCATCTAATATCCCAGAGGTCTAGGACAATAGTCTGTCTTTACTGTGGCTTCTGTCTGTAAGCCCAAAGTAACTCTTCTGGACTGAATTATTCCCCCATTCATATCGAAATACTAATTCCCAGTGGAAGCAGGCAAGTAAATAGCAACCTGGGACTCTTGGGCTATATGCACACCTCTCTTCTAATAATGTACTTGGCTGCCTGAAATCCTTATCTGCACTTATTATGCACATACCTGACTCTGAATAAAGCACCGAAAGAACGTTAGCAACATAGGACTCCCACATGTATTGAGCTGCATGTGCATCTCTCTCTGAACAATGAGTTTCTCCTCCCTTCAACAATCATTAAACTTTGACTGTTCGTGTCAAACATATTTCCAATGTATCTAGGGAAAGTTCAGCCCAGCCTGAACTGGCTTTGGATTCATGTGCAATAAGGCAAAATTATGTCCTCAAGTGAATGTTTAGGGAGAATCCCCTATTTTTTTTGTGCCTATGCAAACTGGACATGCATATGATTTTTTAAAATGCATTA